AGCAGTGGTATCAACGCAGAGTACTAAGAACGCGGCTGAGAGGATACATAAAGCACAACCGCGTTCATTCTTTTACCCCCGCTTCAAGTTCGAAGCGCTACACAACAAAAGGAAAGCGGGGTAAAACAAAGAACGAAAAAACAATGAAATGAAAACGAAAAAGGGCTAGGAGCCCAATAGTGGTCAACAGATTGATGGAATTTCCTGCTCTTCTGCACTGTTTTTGCTCTCCTTCAAGAAGAGCCTGCGAAAACATTGCAACGGCCTCCTGGAAATAAATGGAGTACTTTATGTAAGAATAAAACGAAAAGACATTAACGAGCGGAACAACACGCATAATCGGACACACAAAGCAGAACAGCGCCTATTCCTCAACCCCGCTTTGCGCTCGGAGTTCCACTCATTAAAAGGAAAAGCGGGGGTGGAGGAATAAGGCCCGAAATGAGAGAAACCTAGAAGAAAATCCGTCACAAACGGTCAGAATACTCCAACTGCGCATGCAGCACACTTTCGGCGCAGTTCGAGCACCGTTCTAGTGCTGTGCTGGAACTGTGCCGCTTTGTGCGGCTCAGTATGAACCCTGCCTCAGAAACCTTGCTTACTTGCTTTTCTAAGTCAGTGTGAATAGGAACTGAGCTATCAAATGGTGCATGAATCGCGCTCCAGTCTATAAAATTCGCCGAGTTACGAGCCTACGAAAACACGTCCTCATGAAATTTGCACAAAATGTAAAGATCGCGTACTTTGTTGAAATTCCACCGTGAGTGGTTTTATGAAACGCGGGCGGGGTAGACATAACATTTGCAATTAGTCATGCAACTACTCACGACGGAATTTCAACAAAGTACGCGATCTTTACATTTTGTGCAAATTTCATGAGGACGTGTTTTCGTAGGCTCTTAACTCGGCGAATTTTATAGACTGGAGCCCGATTCATGCACCATTCGATAGCTCAGTTCCTATTCACTTTGACTTAGAAAAGCAAGCAAGCAAGGTTTCTGAGAGATACGCGAGAAGTGCGGGCAAAGTTACGCACTTTCGTGGTGCAGTTACAGTTACCTCACCGTATCTCTCCAAAAAGACACTGTAATCCTCAAAGACCACGATTTTCGTAAAGAGCGTGTTCGAAAACCTCTGTAAGCGAAGTTTCCTTACAATTCAAGAGCATCAACATTTTGACCAAAATCCATCGGCGAGCTTCCAGAGCGTAAAACGAGAAAAAATGAAATAACCCGGACATCTCGGAAAACTTGCTCATAGAGGTTATCCGACCTGCTGATTACGATAATCACATCTGCTTAGCAAGATAGCTTCGTATCCTGCGGATATGGCGAGTAGAATTTGGGACGACAAGATTTTTCCACAATTCACCAGCCGTTCTATTCCCTTTGAAAAGAAACCTGCGGCTACTATTTAGCACATTATAATCTACAGAAAAAGTGCTGTCGAATCATCCTTGCTGGAATGTACTGGGGACAATACTCGCTGCTTTACACCTTCGCGAAAAGACGTCCTCAGAAAGATTCAAGAATACTGAAATCGAAATATCAAGGACATGCTGTAAACCAAAAGATTCGCCTTGATGAGCTGAGCACAGCACCGTTTTCGGATTCAGAATATACTTATCCCGGAGGAAGTTATGGCGAGTAGAATTTAAAGGCGCGTGATTTCTGCAGAATTCACCATCTCTTTTCGCGCTTTATAAAGCATGTTTCCGTCTACTTTTCACCGCTGGATTATCTACGGAAACAACTCTTTCCGATTCGCCTTACCGGAATCTTTTAAGTGTGAAAGGGGCTGGCCCACAGCGTTGCAAAGAGGCGTCTGCAGAAAAAAGTGAAGTTTTGCTGGAAGCAGAATATCACAGAGTCATGCGGTGTGTCACTTTGCTCACATAAGCAACAAGACATGCTGATTACAAAGATTATAACCGTTTTGCTAATCGTAATGTTACTGTATAGTTATGTTTGTTTGACGGTAAGTGGTTCATGCATATTTACTAGGTTCACGTACTCCTTTCTCTTTTTTCCACTATAAAAAAGATATAGTTTTCTGCTGGAAACATTCTGCAGAAACTTTTCCATCAAACGCTCTTTATCTTAAACCTTTGCCTACATTATGCGCCGAAATACACACTCTAGAAGACACCACCACAGGATGCAACGGATTCCTACCATGCACTAACCGTGACCGAGCCGATTACAGCAGTTCAATATACGAAAAGATTCGTCTCGGCGAGCTGAATCCAAATCTGCCTTCAAATTTGAAATCCATTGAAAACGAAGGGAGTTATGACGAAAAGACGCAAAGTCGGCGACATCGGCGAATTCGGCGACATCGGCGAATTTGGCGAATTCGGCGAATTCGGCGAATTCGCCGAAATTTTTCACATTCCACTGTCACAACTGTACCTATGTGGACTACAGTAAGGTAAAGTAAAAAGAGATTCCAAAAACCCGATTAAACAACAACTCAGAGTAGGGAAGTCGATAGCTTATCCTTCACTTTAAAGTTTTTCAACAATTGCTCAAATCTTAATCCGCTGGAATTCAAAGCCAAAATATAAGAAATCCTTACTCAATTGAGCCCCTGTCCACGGAAATCTGAGTATCTCAGAATTGCTCACATATTTGCTTTCTACATCAAAAGTTCAAAAATATCAAATTCATCAGAAGTTCCTTTGGTGGATTTTTTTCCATGGCTAAAACTAACTAACTGGCTAACTAAACTTCCATGGCTAAGATAGACCATATGAAATGTGGCCTTTTCTGGATTTTGTGCTAAATTTGATAGGTCTTGAAAACTGACGCTTATAACGGCTGTATTATGATAACACCTCCAAAAGTTGATGCTACGAAATCAAATTTGGGAAAACTCCACTAATTTGGCAAAGGCATGCTAGTTTCGTTTTCAATTTCTAGCCATAGAAAAATTACGGAACTGCGCATAAAAGTGTCCGATGTAGAGAGTGTATGCTTAAGCAATTTGGAGACCCGCAGATTTTAACGAAGATACGATTTTTTTACTTTTAGGCATAAGCCTTTCAATTCTTGTCTTTAAAATTCAGGTAAATCAGATTGCAAATGTGAAAACTGCGGGTATATGGCTGCGATACACGTTGAATACTGAACGCTGGACTTACTCGGCTCTAATAACTGAGCATTTAATATTTAAAGTGTGTATGGTGACCTACGTTCTTCTCGCAATTCAAAGATTTGTCTTGAAGGCAGTCGAATTTTTCAAAGTATTTTGAGAGTGACATGTGCATCGCAGTGTAGTTTAGCAGTGACCCTGCAAACGTGAATACAGTTCAAAAAACGACGTTAGGGTAAACACATACTTTCGTTTTTTGGCTCTGAGACCATACATAGACAGAAGTTTTTGACGACATTGTTTTCTACGCAAGATCTGTTGGTCGGGATGGGTTCGAAAAGGCTTTTACCTGAAAATTAGTAAGACGTCAGAAAAGGCGATTGATACGAAAGCCGAGAATGAGAGAACAACCAGCACCTCTTTTTAGAGGTCGATCAGTCTCGAGTCGATTGTCAATAATGTCAAGCAATGTTTCGTGTAGATCAAAATTGCTAGAAATGAGGCCTTGAGGCCTTTGAAGGAAGTGCTGGTGCGAAATTTTATGAAAGGTCAAGAAACTAACGAGGTAAAACGTTGAGTGTTCTCTCGTAAATTTCGGAAAGCCTCGGGGTATATAGCAGCGAAATTAGGAGGCGGTCGAATGGACAGCAATGGCTGTCTTTCTTCTAAAGCGTTATTATACCACAAACAAATATGTGTTGTATATCAATTCCCACCAATCTTTCCAGCAAATGACCTACTCATAACGCTTACTCGATTCCCATGATCACCCATGATTATCAAGAATGTATTGTTAAGAGCTCCGGATTCCTGAAAGAAGTAGATGTACGCCCTCCTTCAGCTGCTGTTTTAGCATTCTCAATTTTTTTGCACTCCTCCACTTGGTCCCTGTCAATGATATTGTGATGTTAAACATTTTTTTAAATTGTGCATAATAGTTTGCTGTCCTCCAATGCCAAAAATGCGACCAATAGATATAGTGCTTTAAAAGTATGTACACACTGAGAACGTTGATATCTCTCTTCCCAAGAAATCTTTTGCCTACCCTCAGGTACCATTTTCTAGAGCTGGCTTCAATAAAGCTACACTATGAAGGGGATGGATGTTAGAAACTTTTAGAAGGATTACAGGCCATTGAGAGCCGTATTTTGCCCGGTTACTTCAGAAAGAAAAACAAAGACAGAAATGTTTAAACTAGGTTAGAAGCCACTGATTTTGAAGTTGAAGTTTGCACTTACTATAATGTTACTTTCATGTATTCCACGTATACCGTAACAGTGGTTTTTCCAATATTGGTCATGCGATAACACCACTGAAAAAGTTCAGAGAGCTCTTAAAAAGTTGTATATGTCATCAGCATGTGCAAGAAATCTGACACATAAATTTCGAGATTGAAAAAAATCTGCCCGACGGTCTATTTCACAATGGTTCTGCTGCTGAAATTTCGCACCTTAATTCTACAGTAATGAAGAGCGATCGGTGATTTGCTCCGTACTGTATATCTAAGTTAAAGAGTTTCAGAAAATGATGCCTGAAGGTAAACAAAAGACTTCTTGCAAAAAATATCAACGATCAAGCTGTATAAATACTTTTGGGACACCTCGTATATGCAGTTTCCTCCATGACTGTTTTTGAGCGCATATAGCTAAACTCGCAAAAATCCAAACTCGATAACAAATGATAATAAACTTTCGTTCCACAGTCTGGATGTCATACACAGGTATACCAATGTTGGTCCAAAAAATTCCAGTCAAGGGGGGGGGGAAGGACAACAGATTTCTTTTCTCGAAGTGGCTTAGCCACGCCACCAAAAAAAAATCTTTTTTTAGACAATCCCTAACTTAGTGGGCCTATACAATTTCTGAAGGAGGGAGCGTGGCGGTAGCCACGCTCTCGAAATTTTTACCAGGCTGCGAGAAATGGAAAGTGAATGGGATAAAGACGTGAGTTTCAGAGACCTCATATACGAAATTCTGGACATTGTTTTTTGCAGTAACTCAAAAGATCAACTACGCTTTTGATTGTCAGTAAATATGCTCGACTGCTAATGAAATGCTCGATTCAAAGCACGCACGCTGTGCAGTTCTCGAATTCTCAAAATCATAGTGGTCGAACCTCGAGCAAGCGAAGACGCTCACTGAGAACGTCATCTAGCCATTGTATATTGTTCGGTGTGTCATGTGTAACGCTGTAAAATGCATTGGTAATTTTTAAATTGACTTCTGAAGTTTCACAAACCTTGTTAAGAAAGTGAAATCGAAATGACATTGGTTTTCATAGGTGGATACAAATCGATACCAGATATCTAGGAAGTTTTCGTAGAGGAAATCTCCTTTTAAACATGCTTTCGGTTTATTCAGGAGAGCCTGAATCATATGATGTAAATACATTTTAAGGTGAATTAGACGCAAACAGTGCACAATGCCATCCCATATCCAGATGTCTGCAAAACTCAGTTATTCTGCGTCTCAACGCGTCAAAACCGCACCGCAGGTTCTTGTGCATTGTTTGCGTCCGTAACTCTGGTAAACACACCGCATAAACTTCAAGGTAGTATGCTCGGTAATAGTGAGTAGTGGGAGAGAAGCGAAACCCTAAGTAAATAAATTGGAGGGCCCGCTTTTCATCAATTTATTTATATTTTCTCCTCAAAGCGAGGTTTATTAGACTGTTCCAAAAGCAAATCCCATTTTATGATAAATCAATAAACTTTACAAAATAAACCAACAAACACTACCAAAGATCCACCTAAGATCTGTGTGCACGTAATCCCCTTTGGGGAGAGGAGGGGATCAGTGAGGGGACTCCTCATATTGCGCTACTCTATACAGGATGTCCCAAAAAGTGTGCCTACTGTTTGATTGTTAGTAACACCACCTTGTCACGAGATCTTTCGGGAAGGATTAGGTATCATTTGTAGGGCTGCCTTCAACTTAGATTTACAGTCTGGAGCGAGTTAGCGATCTTTCTCCATTACTGTAGTACGTTAAAAACTCGCAGCATAGGCGCCACTGTGAAATAGGACGTTCGCAGAAAAATTTTCATTAAAATCTTAAAATTTGCGTGACACGTTTTCATGCGTGCTGATTTCACTATAGAGCTTTTTGCGTGTACGCAGAGCTTTTCGAATATCCTAATCAAGTTCTTCGACAAATTTGTAACAAACGTGTTCTTCTGATCATTCTTTAGCCTTGACGAGACCTCGAATCCCCGCCCAGCCGCCATTCTCCTTGGATCAAGGGATACGGGCCTAGGTCGTAATCCAGAAAAAGTTTTGAGCCAAAACCGAAGAAAATTTTATCACATGAAAACTGGATTTTGCGAAGTGAAAAATCCTACGGGGCTCCAAATTGGTCGTCATACGGAAGATACAGTATAGCATTCATAGATGCATTTGCTATATTTTTCAAAAAAGTGGTCTAAAATGGCAAATTCCGCCTCCAAGTTGTAACTGCAAGGCTTAGTAAGTATGATCTCAGAAATATACTTCTGTTTCTGCTCTAATAGTTGAGAGAAAAAGTCTAACATAGGGAAAAATCCGAATGAAGTAAAATTTCTGAGCCACGGGAAGAATAAGTAAATGCATTTATGAATACCACTATGTGTCTATTATGTGATGACCAAGTTGGAGCTTCGTAGAGTGTTGGAAGGCAGTCCGATTTTTTAATTTTTGGCTATAAAGTTCACTTGTACTACGACTGGACCTTTGGTGGTCATTTTGAAGGTTGCATTTTGAGTCATACCTTTCTCAAAAGATTTAGCCGGATAGTGAAACAATCCTCGAGTCGTGTGCATAGGATCATCATTAAACATCGTTGCACAACCCTTCTCTAAAATAGAGAGACTACATAATTAAATTATTTTACTTGATTCTCACTTTGCATTTTCTTCCAAAGAAACTGAAAATTGTCCGGATCCAGCTTGAAATTATATGGAAGAATTCTGGCAATATTTACATCGCCCTCATGATCGAGCAGAGGAAAACGTAGGCCTGAAGTGACAGACATTGTGGAGAAACAGCTTACATTTTTTATACCCTCTTCGATCTGTTCAGCCAAAACGGGTAGTAGGTTCACTGCGCTGTTGTCGCCGATCTATTCACTCAGAGCTTCAAGAAACAAGAGTTAAAAATTATAGTAGGTTACCTTGTTATAACCATGAAATGTGAGAAATCCCATTTTCTGCATTTGCACCACGGTTTTCGGCATTCCCCGATAAAACTGTGCCCGAGCTGTGCTATCTAGACCTACTATAGATATAGACATCATATTCTTGTCGAATCCTTTGGAAGGACTTCGCTTAGGCCGCCCTAAACGATCTGATATTATTCTTTTACCTACAAGACACCGGCAAATTTAGTAAGGGCAACGAACACATGGGAAGTTGATTAACGCACCTTCGATGACCAATCGCGAATATTTCTTGTTACGCACTCCCGCATACACTTTTTGCATCAAGATCCTGCCAAATTTATCGAAACAAGTCAGCTGAAAGACATCTGCATTCACGTGGAACTCGTCGAAAGACACCTAGAAGAAAAAATTCGCAAGTTTTATTTTATAATCGGCAAATCTATGAAAATGCGTCTCTCGAACAGGTTTCTGCGGTAACTTATTACTATTAAGTTGCGTCAAAGGTTGTCGCTTTTATTTTTTTTCTTTGAAAATTTGTAGTCTCACGCAGTCACAACAGATTTGATACTTGTTTATGAGATATTTATGATTTAGATTATATAGATTATTATATAGATTTATGATACTTGTTTTGTTGAGACGCAATGTTGAGACAACCCTATATATAAGAACGGAAGATGAAACTGCTCATGCTTGAACATTTAGTGTTTGGTTGCCAAAAATCCAAAATCTTGCAGAAATTACAAAACAGTACTTATGATCTATGAGCTGCTTTCCAAACTGAAAAGTTTCTTGCCAAATAGTCTTTTTGAAGTATTAGGCTGATGCAAAAATTACGCCGTTTGGCGAGTTCTTTTGATGTGCTATAAAATTCTGCCATTAACAACAGCAAACCTTTTGCAATACAGCTCGTTCATCTATACTCACATCACAAATCGCAGAAAAATATGGAATGAAAAACAAAAAAACTTTCTCTTCAGAGCCCTGACTTTTCAAGCGAAAAGTTGCCTATCTTATAGCCGCAAGTCAGTAGGAAGAAAGAAGATGAAGAGAGATTAGACAAAAAAGATCGAAGAAAAAAAATTGAAATTAAAATTGTCAGTTTTCAACAACGAATTGTATTGGGTTGGAAACTAAGTTCTGCAACTACTTCAATTATGACGTAAGCTATAAAAGCATCTGCTCTTCTGCCAAATTCTGACGTTACAGTGACGGTTACGATAGGTAAATGGTACAGGGGGAAAATTATGAAACACCACAGATTTGGCTGGAACTTGACG